CTGGGAGCACACGGAGCAGCAGGGTGGTGGATTCACTGCAGAGAGCAGAAATGGGGCAAAACAGCTGGAGAATGGGTGTGTAGGGTGTCCTGCTGCTGCTCCAGAGGCTGAGGTGCTTTTCATGGCATGCTCTTGGGTAGGAGGGTGCCAGGGTGTTTCTCCTGCTTGGACTGTGCTGCTCCTCCCAAACACACCTGGGCCCCTTCCTGGCCACCTTCCCAAGGCAGGTGTGCTGCCTCCAGCAGATCAAGTACAGGCTCATCATGCATCATGTTGGGATGCAAAAATCAAGATTAACTGTTGCAGAAGCTGAGCTGGATGAGCTTTGCTGTGCAAAAATGAGAAGTGATCCAAATGAGGGTCAGGAACTGAAGTTACGGGTCTCGGCTTAAATAAGAGGATTGAAAGGCACTGGAAGTGTCACTTGGCTGGGTAAGTTCACTCTTGAGAACTTGATCTTGTTCTTAATGTTTATGTTAAGTCTTCAATGAACTTAGATTATTAAGTGAAAGTGGTAAAACATAAGCAGATAAATTTGTGAATCTTCTCCTTACCACTTGCACTTCCACTCAGCTGCTCCAGGGATCCCAGCACATGTCACAGAATTGACTGGATTTCTGCTTTCAAGTCTATTTTCTGATATTCTTTACTATTATTGACATCTCCATCACTGTGGCATCCTCTGGGATGCCCTGCAGTGTACTTCAAATGAGTCACTAACAAGAACTACTTAGGTATTTTTTTACTGAATCAAGATCCCAGAGATTCCTGTGACCATGAAGTCTGCAAGGATCTTCTTAAGTTCACTATGGAAATGGGCCAACAGCTTCCCTTGGGCAGGGAAAAGGGAGTTTCTGTCTTCCAGTCATACTTATTTAATCCAGCTGATGTGGTTATGAATGAAGGATTTGGGCACCTGTCGGAGGGGTATGATCTGCTGCACATCAAAAACTTCAGGTTGCTGGGAAATAAAATCCCAAGGAGGAGTTTAGTAGAATGTGGCACAGAAATAATAAACATACCATGGGCATTTGATGAAGAGAAACATTCTGATTTTTCCCCTGGGAGCAGATGGAATGAGTGTGATTTAAGTGGTTTCCCTGAATGTCCTGTGTAGCTTTGGCTGCTGCAGCAGGTCTCACCTCTCTGCAGAGGCAGCTGCTGCCAAGCACCCTGCTCGTGGCACTTGGTGGCCCACGGTGGCCCTGCCACAGCTCCAATGTAGGGAATATGTTCCCTGCAAACCCAAGGAGCACCGTGCCCATAGTGTGGCCAAACACCTCCCAGCAGTTATAGGTGATTCTGTATTACAACATTGTCTCTTTCTGGCAGATTAGAAGTGCAGTTTTCATGTCTCTAGAGCAAATTTTTCACAATCCAGGTACTGACATAAATGCCACCTGACGTGTCAGGGGGATGCAAAGTCAGTAAGGGTGTAATCACAGTATAATCTCTGCATTATAATGGAAATAGTGTTATTCCTGTGTTGGGTAGGGTCTCACATCCAACACCTGTTCTTATTACTGCAACCCTGACTCTCATGATCCTTTTGCTGGTGCTGCCAACTCTGCTGCTGCTTCACTGTTCCCATCAGCACCTTCCTAGCTTTCTGCTTGGCTGCATGGCTGGATACAGAACACTGCTCACAGGCTGGTGTTGAGGGAGTCATGGAATCACAGACTGGTTTGGGTTGGAAGGGACCTTAAAGACCATCTAGTTCCAACCCTCCTCCCATGGGCAGGGACACCTCCCACCAGCCCAGGTTGCTCCAAGCCCCATCCAACCTGCCCTTCAACACTTCCAGGGATGGGGCAGCCACAGCTTCTCTGGGCAATCTGCTCCAGTGTCTCACCACTCTTACAGCAAAGAATTTCTTCCTAATATCTCATCTAAATCTCCCTTCTTTCAGCTTAAAACCATTCCCACTCATCCCATCACTCCCTGCCCTTGTACAGAGTCCCTCTCCAGCTTTTCTGGAGCCCTTCCAGGCACTGAGTTGTTCTCCAGAGTTCAGTGTAACCCATACCCATAGCACGTTGGGTGGCTACCTCTGGTGGGACAGGCTGTGTTTCTGGGAGCAGACAGTCTGACTTGCTATTTGTGCAGAAGCAGTGCAGCTAATTCACCAGGAAGTGAGTAGCTCCCTTGCTGAGCTCACCCATTTTTGTTGTTTGCTAGTAAAAGTGGGGTTGGCAAGCTGCTTTTTTTATTGCCTGATGGGAAGAAATCAGCACTCTGTCTCAGTTCATGCTGACATCATTGCAGCCACATAGTCAATATTTTATAAGATGTGGAGAATTCTGGAAAGATGCTCAATGCTCAGGATCAAATTACCCCATGGGTGGGTATTGAGAGGTAACATCACCTGGATGTTGTTTCATTTGCTGTGATCATTGCAACCATTCTTGGAGGGGCTGGTTGTGATCCTGGAGGGTTTGCATAGTTGGGATCTCTTGGGGTAGCAGAGGTGGCTGTGGGATGTTGGGGTGGCACCAGGATGCAGCCAGTAGCCCAAGGGACGAGTGGACTAGAGCCCAGAGGAGGGAGATGGCTCTGATCACGGTCTCTGTGTCACTGTCACCACTCCCTGCTGCCCACCACCACGTTGGAGCCTCATAATGGGTGAGGTTAGTTCTTCACTGTGTTTTTTTGCTGGTGTAAACTTAAAAACCTCTTCCAGACCCTTGTGTGGTGGGTGCCCCCCTGTTTGCAGGGCCTCTGGACCTCACTTGGCACAAATAGAGGGAAAGGCTGTGAGAGGGTAAGTCCTGACCTTCAGCCTCACCCAGACACTGTTCCCAGGAGGAAAAAAGCTGGTTAGTGTTGGTGTCAGTGTTGGCATTGTGTGGCATGTCCTGGCCTCTGCTTTGGAGCAAAGCCCCTCCATGAATCATTTGGGAGCTCCGTTAGCTGGAGGGAGGCCAGAGGGCAAGAGGAAAGGGGCTGCCTGGGCTCTGGCAGCTGAAAAGCTTTTTCTTTAAGACCTTGACTGCTGGTAAAGTCATAAATAGAGTTGTGGGGCTTAACAGGAAACTTTAACTGCTTGGCTTCTCCCCTGGCAGCATCTGCTTGGCTTGTCCCCAGCAGGGCTGGTAGTTATTGGAGACTCCCCAGCAGGAGCTTCTTGCAGGGCCCTTATGGTAAATACGAGTTACTTAAAATGCTCCTTGTATACTTGACACCCAAACACAAGTCCCTTGAGGACAGCACTGCCTTGCACCTTGGGGCTGGCTCCTCTCTCCCATGCCTGTCCCACTTCCTGCCCTCAGCCTTCCCTGTTCTTGCTCCATGAGTCTGGCACAACCCAGGCTTTGTGGAGAGCTGCCCCCCCCTGGGGCCACAGGAGAGCGATGCTGGCAGGGGTCAGGGACTGAGCTGGGGATGGCAGTGTCACCATCCTGTGCCATAAAATGTGTTCCTTCACCTGTCTCCTCCACGCACAGCTCTCCAAATAGAAAAGGAGAGAAGACTTTTAGTTTGGGTGCTGTGGGAGCAGCATAGGGGCTGGTGGTGGGGCCAGGGGACCACCAGCAGCCCCCCTGTGTCCGAGGAGCCCAAGCTGCAGCCCTTCTCTTCCCATGCTAGGACTGCACCCTGGGGGAATGCCCATTGGGCAATGTCCTGGCACTTCTCCCTCCCAGGATCTGCCAGTTGCCCCCCAGAGTACCCGGAGGTGTCGTGTCCCCATCCGGCAGGC